TCTAAGGATCCCTCTCCTCCCTGGGGTCAGATGTTCCCCTGACAATTATATGTTGATTGAGAAGTCATCCAGCTGCCAGCTGCTTGTCTTGGGGTCTTTTAAAGTGGTGAGAAGTAGCTCTTTAACTGTGTTGAAGGAAGAGGGGAGAGAAAGGACAAAGGAGGGAGATGGGAACTGTTCCATTTTCTGTTGCGTGGCTTGCGTGGAAAACCCTCATGATAATCCCTGTCTTTCTAAGAAAAAAGTGCCCCAGCTCTCTAAATTCAACCTTGGGTCTTTCTCACCTCCCTGTGTCCGTGCCCCCTTTTTTCTGTTTGTCATTTATTTTTCTACTTGACTCTGATAGTTGGCTTTTAGTCTTCAGAATGATGTCTGCAAAGAACTCATGACCTGCTTGAATTAAGTTCAGATAGCTGTTCTCTGTGCTTGACCCCAATGCCATCTTTGATGGTGGCATGAGCTGTTAAAAGGTTTTGGGTCCTCTACACATTTTCTTAATGGTCACACTCTATTTGGAACCTGAACAAACCCATCCCTGAAAACTGTTTTGCTTTTGTTTCTCCCACATTATGAGAGGTACTGACATTTAGAATTATAAAGATCCACTGGATAAGTGGAACTCCCAATGACTTATTTCCAAACCTAGCATAGGATTGGTTAACACACAGGTGTCATTCATTATGATTAAGTTTATTATAGCATTTTAAAGACAATAATCCTGCCTTAGAATAATCACAGAATACTGGCTTGAGCTATTTTGGCTTTTTATTCTATTTGTCTCCTACATTTAACATAATATGCATTGTACATAGTTTTTGTTTGTTTTTAAATGCCTTTTTAAAAGATATTATGTCTAACTGTGGTTAGGTAAAAGAATATAGAAAATTTACACCCTCAAATGGATCCCACAAAAGAGTGTGTGAGGTGTGTGTGGGTGTGTGTGTGTGTGAGAGAGAGAGAGGGAGTGAATGAATGTATGGGGGGAAGGAGAGAGAGAATGATGATAAAGCAAATGGAACAAAATGTAAACCATTTATGAGTGTGGTTAAAGAATATAAGAGTTCCTTTTACAATTCTTGTAACTTTTCTGAAGTTTAATATTATATCAAAGTAAAAAATTACCAAAACATGGTGCGGGGCACAGGACAGGGCCACTGTTGTTCACCTAAGGGTGATTCAGCAAAAGAAAAAAAAAAAGGACATCATAAAAAAAGTTTGACTCTGTATCGTAACCCCAACTTTGAGTGGTTCTATTCCCATTACAATTCAGCCTAGTTTTAAACCTGATGTCTGCCCATTTCACATGATCAACCTTGAGAGACAATACCTGAAAATGAAGTTAATAGAATTTTTCTATTAAATCTAATTCACCTGTGGTCTCATGTCTCATATGCTTGGCCTAAAAGATGATATTTTCAGACCGAATACAGTCACATTTAGGTTAGATATTATCAGGAAGACCCTCAGCCAGGACCCAGGAGAGAATGAGTGGCCAGGCTCCCCTCTCCCTTGTGCTGCCAAAGAAAATACGATAGAGTGGTGTAAATGCCTGAGGAAGAGGTATTGTTGATATTTGTGAGATCACATTTTTACTTATAATTTTTGTTGTATAACTTTTTACAAGCACAAGAACCATGTTTAGTGACCACTGCTTTTACTTGACTGATATACTTAAGAATAGACTCCCAGGGTCTGCAAATATAAGTCATCTTTTAAAAAAAAAAGGGAAAACTCAAGTGCTCATGTAAAAGAAAGAGTAACTGGCATTGGTGTAGTGACTCTTGCCACAGCCCAGTCCACTTGGGGGTCACGCAATGTAACTTTATTTTTTTAATGTTTGTCTTTCGGTCAGCTCTGAGAATTTGGCAATAGATGTAATGTCTTGTCATTTTAAGTAGTTATTCTCTGATATGAAGAATGGCTTTCTCCCATGAGTAAAGTCTGAACCAACAGTTCATGAGGCCACTGAATGCTGACAATCCGTGTTGATGGTATATTCCCCTTAAAAGGCCTTCTGTGGGTAAAGTGACCTGTCTGCTGTCTAGCTGCCATCTTGTGTGTCTATAGTGCAGTAGCACAGCTAGTTCACCAAAGAAAAGGAAACTGGCTCACTCAGCCTTCCCCCAGGAGGCAGTGTGAGATTGTCGGGGTTTATGATCACAGATAGGCCCCATCCTAAGGCCACTGCTGTAAACTTACTGACCTTGGACAGTCGACCTTAGGCACGTTGCTCTGAGCTCAGTTTCCTTATCTGTAGAGTGAAATACCGTTTTTTGTTGGGTTGCTTGATACAGTGATTAAATGACACGGCACTAATGGTACCAGGTGAGACACAAGGGAACAAGTTAGTGGTCTGCTAGCAAAGCCATGCCTATGCTGAAAATGATTTTGTTCCTTCAGTTGGACTCTACGTTGTTCATGAATGACAGTCAGTCCTCAGTGTACTTTGTTGGAAGGTGGAATGAACATGTGTGAGTTTGAGATGTGGCCAGCACTTCCAGGTGATTGGAGGAGGGGATAGTGGCATTCAGTGCTGACGTTGATTTACCTTGATTACGATCGTGATTTACTGTACATTTTCCACAAAAGGCTCATCAAGGAGCACAGCTGTAGAAGTCATTCAGCTCTGCAGTAATCTGTATCTTTATGCTAGCCTGGAAAATCCATGGTTTGTCCTAATTTGTGATGTTTTTTTCTTGTTTTATAATACAGAGACATTTCACATTCAGGTTCTGTTTCATATTTATGTCCTTTGTAAGTCTGCAGAGTAGATACCTTAGTGTCTCTCTCCTCAACCAGATTTGGCAAGGGACAGAGGTGCACACTTCATGATTCAGGTTAAATTGCATTGAAGGCACCCGTTCTCCTGGTGGGCGATTTTTAAGTTACTAATTAAATTCTCAACCTCTAGTTCTCTTCATTGACATGTGGGAGTTGTTTTTTCAAAACAAAAGGGAAAGAGTAGATCCAAGAAATCTTCCGACTTTGATTAACCCATCTCTTTTTTATTGAGAAGCAAGAGGAATGTGTCTGTGGTTAGAAAGCCTTTCCTAAATCAAGACATGAATGAATCACACCTGTGTGGTCATAGCATCCCAATGGTAGTGTAGGAAATGAGGTCATCTTTACTTTTTGTTCAGGGTGAAAGAACGTTAAACTTATTAGTTAGAATAATATCTTATGTGTGGAATTGCTCCTACTGCTAGTAAATATTGCAGCCATGGGGTGCTTGGCCTTCATTTGTGAACTGTTGCAGCTTTCGGTTGTTTTAATGTCCTATAATTTATAAAAGAAAAACCATAAGTTTAATAATTATAGCTTTTTAAAATTATTTTTAATTATTTTTTTTTTTGAGTTGGAGTCTCACTCTGTCGCCCAGATTGGAGTGCAGTGGCTGCTCCCGGCCACCGCAGCCTCGACCTGCTGGGCTCCTGCGATCCTTCCACCTCAGCCTTCCAAGTAGCTAGAACTACAGGCGCGCGCTACCACGCCCGACTAATTTTTTGATTTATTGTAGAGATGAGGTCTCACCAAGTTGCCCAGGCGGGTCTCGAACCCACGGGCTCAGGCAATTCACTCACCTCAGCCTCCCAAGGCGCGGGATTACAGGCTGAGCCACCAAGCCCAGTTTAGTTATAGCTTTTAAAAGGTAATATTTTCTAATACTATTAAGTATTTAGAGTTGCACTGAGATGGTTGCTGAAGAATGACTTTGTTTCAGGTTGCCAGTGTGTAGGTTTTAACTGCCTTCCCCACTTGTTTAAGCAAATGGAACTACTTTTTTTGTTTGTGTGGCCTATTCTTCCTGAGATGGAAGAATATTTATTAAGGTAGAAGAATTTTTGGAAGTCTGACATGCCGGTGTGTGACTCTACTCTGGCTTTAGCTGTGTGACTTTGGGCAAGTCACTTAACTTCCCTGAGCCTTGTTTTCTCTAAAATGACTGGGCTGGGATAATTATCTATAATTATCTTTCTTTACATTTTTCTGGGGGACAAAGGGTCAGGTATAAAAACTTCATCTGATTCTGAAAGTTCTGTTATCTTTGCTTTTTCATAGTTCATTGGGACAAGGGATGGTTTTTAAGACTCAGAAGGCACTCACTAGTCCATAGTGATAATTCCTGGGTGGTAGGGCAGGGAGTGTTGTCTTGACACCTTTATAGCCCTTCATCTGAGGAGGCTTCTCATTCAGAGAAGAATTTACATCTTACTTTGCCCAGAGGGGGCTGATGGCGTTTCACACATACTAGGTACTGAGTAACTTTTCAGTGAATACCTTAAATGTTACTAGTCACCAAGCTGGATTTTATTTTCATGTAGTGCTGTATTCAATTACTGTTTGTTGAAGGAACTCATTGATGAATGTCTGGCTGACTAGAGTCCTTAGTAAAGGCTTGAGGATTTACTGTGCTATATAAGGATTTAACTGCGCTATTTCTATTCAGTGTATAAACTAAGTTTGGTGTCTTACAAAACATAATGAGAAATCTGAAACCTAAGTAGTTTGGCTCAGTGGACCCACTCTCAGCAGGCACACTGCCTCAGTTGGAAAAATGGCTTGGTGATGTGGGAAGCTGAGTGGGGTCTTGAGCCATTTTTCATGGCGCATAGCAGTTGGCGAGTCAGGTGGCCTGGTCCCTAACACCTCCTTCTACAACTCACAGGACTTCATGGGGATTTCACTTGTGGGCAAGTTAGAAAGTCAACAAAGCAACTTTCTTGAGAACTTTTTAAGTGAATCGTGTGTAGAGAGGCACCTTTTAAAGGCAACTGGAAATAAACTAGCCTTGGTGGCGTGTTCTGAAATCCTGAACTGGTAGGGGACTATTTGTGAATTGTACAGCCCTATATTTTACATTTCAGTGGGTCTGGGGGGGTGCTAGTAATTTGGTTACTTTCTCTGGGCCCAGCTGTGTGTAAACAGCATCCAATAAAAGCTCTTAAAGGGTAAAAGAGATGCATTCAGCCTTTTTAATTACTTTGTTTTTTTTCTTATAGTGTCCACAGCAGCCATTGTTTGATGTCCTGTGACTAAGAAACCACGTTTTAAAACGTTATTATTATGCCTTTGGAGATGGAACCCAAAATGAGCAAACTTGCCTTTGGGTGTCAGAGAAGTTCCACATCAGATGATGACTCTGGCTGTGCCCTGGAGGAGTACGCCTGGGTCCCCCCGGGCCTGAGGCCAGAGCAGGTAGGACCCTCATCATCCTGTTTTTTTATTTGTTTTACAATGTGACTTGACTTTAGAACTTAAAAACAAAACAAAACATAACTATGTAGAACATCCCTGCAATGCTGATACCACCCTCCTCAGTCCTCTTTGTGTGACTTTGAACTTGTGCTCTATAAGGCGTTTCTTTTCTCAGTGAAAGTTTGCAAACTCTTTGTACTCACAGATCCAGAAGCCCCAAGATGATGCTATTTTTGCCCTAATTAATGAAACCCAGAGTAACACATATGCATTGGTTATATGGATTTCTGATGTATCCCTCTTGAGAGAGTGAGAGGAATTTACCTTTTCTAAAACTTTAGCAGCAACAAAAAAGTAATCAAAGGAAAGAAGAAAAGTTCCCATGCTGGGTCTCACCAATACTTTCGCTCTGGAAGAGAGATACAGAATTATCAGAAACCATATGAAACGAATTGCTTAGATATTTAACCTTTAATAACTTTACATATAAAATAGCCTCTCACCACACAGTGGGGCCTGGAAGACAAGTAAAGAGTTAACTTTGTGTCTTATATTGTTATTTTAAGGAAGATGAGAACATTCTTTTTTTGTTTGTATTTTTTGTTATTGGAGATGAGTTCTCACTATGATTCCCAGGCTGGTCTCGAACTCCTGGCCCTCAAGTGATCCTTCCAAAGTACTGGGATTATCACCATGAGCCACCATGCCCAGCTGAGAACATTCTATATATCTGTTTTTATTTCCCTGATATCCTTGCAGTGATGAACTTGTTGAAAATCACTGGTGATAGATATTATAAGGGTAAAGACATCATTTGAAATAAAAGAGGACAATGGGGTATGTGGTTGCTTCTGAGTTGTGGTTCTGTCTCCTGTACAGTGGGATCTCCTTTGAGAACAGGGTATCCTTATTCATCCACAGCTCACCATAGTACCTGGCATGCATATAGCTGATATTCAATAAGTCTCTGTCACCATGAAAAGCTTCTAGAGCTGACACAATGGGGAGTGCTGGTACAGCAGTTAGGAAAGCAGTATTTTGACAAATACTTATTAGTGAGAACCCCTTCTTAACCTCTTGGGATGGGTAGGGTTTTTTTGTGGTGCCAAGATATTGAAGTAGACAGGCCCCAAATTCCGAATCATCTTTTTTCTTGAATCGTTTTCATTCCTTTTCAGCACTATGGTATCTTTTGCAGTACTCATTAAGGGAAATTTCTTTAAATACAGCAGACAAACAAACAAAAGTTAAGTTCTTTTCGAGTGACAGAGTACAGCTTAATCTGGCTCCTCTCCAGTTTCCTGGGGGAAACTGACTTCAGGTATTTAGAAAATAGCACCCAGGGAAGCAAAGAAAGTTGATGTTCAAGAGTACCTGATACGAGAGAGTTTACAAAGTTTAACAAAACAGCTTTTGTCTTTGTGGTGTGTGGGCGACAGAGTGAGACTCCAACTCAAAAAGAAAAAAAATTCAGAGAGCAAATTAAAGGGGTGTGTGTGTGTGTGTGTGTGTGTGTGTGTGTGTGTGTGTGTGTTTTGGACAATGTCACAGGGCCTGTGTGGTCACTTGCAGGATTCACCCAGGATTCTGGGCTGATCCCTTGACTGACCCTTGGAAGACTGGCTGAGGAATGGTAGCATTAAATGTGCATATTTTATGGTGCATAATTTATGATGCTCCTAATTGTCACTACAAATTACATTCCTGAAGAGCAATTTAGCAGCTGGATGCTAGTTATCTGAAGGTTTGCAGTTCTGCTGAGTTGGCTCAGCTGGTCTTCTCATTATCCACAAGAGGCCAAACAAACCCTGTACCTAGGGAAAGGTAACTTTTTAAAGATTGAGTAAGCCAAGATGCTCAGTTTTGTATACTGATGGCATTCTCCATCTCTTCTGCAGATCCAGCTCTATTTTGCTTGCTTACCAGAGGAAAAAGTTCCCTATGTTAACAGCCCTGGAGAGAAACATCGCATTAAACAGCTTTTGTACCAGTTGCCACCGCATGATAATGAGGTAAAATAACAGGAAGAAGGCTAATTAGAAGAAAAAAAAAATACACAATTACCCTGAGATACCTCTCATAAACCCCCTACTCCTCACTGGCTGGGGCTCTTTTGCCTTTCTTCAGTTAAAATGTGGCCAGAAAATACAGCTTTCCATTCTCAAAGAGAAGAGAGAAAAGGGTGTCAGTGCAATAAACTTAACACAAGTTGCCTTTTATAGTGTTTGTAGCCACCCACCCATTATCAGGAGCCTGCAAATTCCTGAGACTCCCCTGCCCCTGCATCAAGGTGAATGCTTTCTGGCCCTTGAGGTCTTAAATTGAGTCCCTGTAGAAAGGAGGGTGAAAGCGGCAATTAACTAGTTGCAACCTTTTGTAGAAAGGTTAATGTCTTACTTTTTAAAAATGTGCTGATAAGGGTTTAAATTAAACATTTCATATTTTAAAAAGACTGTGCCTTCAAATGGCATTTCTCTCTCTCTTTTTTTTAAAGATTTTGATAGGGTGGCATTTTAAAATTGGGGATGCATTAGGCAGGCCAGCTAACTGACTGTTTTATTTCCCAAAACTCTAACTCTGGAAGTAGAGAATTGGTGAGGAAGATAATGCACTCCAAGTGTGGTGCTTTTGTTTTGCTTTCTGTGCAGGTGAGGTATTGCCAGTCTTTGAGTGAAGAGGAGAAAAAAGAATTGCAAGTGTTCAGTGCTCAGCGGAAGAAAGAAGCACTTGGAAGAGGAACGATTAAACTTCTGTCCAGAGCAGTCATGCACGCTGTGTGTGAGCAGGTAGCCCTTCCTAGGATGAGTAGATGGTGCTGGTGCTGTGGATTTGGGGGGAGGGGAGACAGGGTAGGTGACAGGACTTGCACAGATGTGGGCCCTGAAAGCCTTCAAAACATAAGAAAGACAGCCTAACATTTTGTTAAATAGCAATTCATATTTCTAACTGGCTGCACTGCTGTATGTGACAGCAGTAGTCAATCCACTTTTTTGCAAACATCAGGTGAAATTCTGCTTTTCCTAGGAACTGGCCTAGAAGCAGGTGCTAGGATATACCTCGTACTCAAAAGATGCAGAAGCATAATGAAGACATTCAGATCTTTCCTGGCAGTCCTCAGAGTAGGAAACGTATCCAGCAGAAGGCTGGCTCAGGAAAACCACCATTTGCGGGAGTCAGGTCACACCGTCCCTAGACATGTTGTAGTGTGTCTGAGGCATGTGCTTCACAGAGGGGACTCACCAGCAATCCAGTATTAAAGAGCTGCTTAATCACTAACAGGGGACAAAAATAAAAGCTTTCCTGACAAATTTGGGATTTACCCTACAGTAGGAAAGGCTGAGAATCCCATCACAGAAACAGGATCCTCTGACATTGAAACCTGTTTGTTTGTAGTGTGGCTTGAAGATCAATGGAGGTGAAGTTGCAGTGTTTGCCTCCCGAGCGGGCCCCGGCGTGTGCTGGCACCCATCCTGTTTTGTCTGCTTCACGTGCAATGAGCTGCTGGTTGACCTCATCTATTTTTATCAGGATGGAAAAATTCACTGTGGCAGGCACCACGCGGAACTGCTCAAACCGCGGTGCTCGGCATGTGATGAGGTAAAAAAGTTCATCCCTTCACTCTGGAAAAAACAAGCTTATAGTAAGCTAATATTCCACTGTTCACATCTAAGCAAAATAGAAACATCTTCTGGGATTTTTCTGTATGCATATTTTTAAGATAACCTTATACATTCCCTACGATGGAATCATATGTTGCTAAGAAAGAGAGGTCAGCAGTTGTCTTTGTGCTTTGATAAGTGTGATGGAATTGTGAGAAAAAAACAGGTTCCAGAAGAGTGTGTAGCAGATGATCTTATTTCTGTTAAGTAAAGAGGGGGAAAAAACCCAAGGTAATATACATACTTGTTTATACTCAGAAAAGGTGTGGAAAGACAAATACTACATTAATAGTGGTTACCTTGGAGCATGTAGGAAGGGATGGTGGTGTGAAAGGAATTTTTTTCCTTAAGCTTTTTACTTGAAAATAACTTTGGATTTATGGAAAAGTTGCAAAGGTATTACAGAGACATCTTTTTTTTTTTTTTGAGTTGGAGTCTCACTCTGTCGCCCAGACTGGAGTGCGGTGGCTGCTCCTGTCCCCCGCAGCCTCGCCTGCTGGGCTCCAGCAATCCTTCCACCTCAGCCTTCCGAGTAGCCGGAATTTTACAGGCATGTGCTACCACGCCCGGCTGATTTTTTGATTTATTGTAGAGATGAGGTCT